AGAGACCAGTTCCCATTGTCCACCCAGGGTCAAGCCCTGGGTACTCGCTGGCCCCTGGTGGCGGCCAGCGGACACAACATCCCTCCCCCCATGGTTCGGCCCCCCCATGTCACATAGTCCTTTAGGTACGCCGGGGGCCGCCGCTCCCTGGTGGATCGTCTGGGGGTCGGAATAGGGACCTCGGGGCCCCCGTTTCCCGTGCTGGGGCTCGCCTGTGGTGCCGTCCCCTCTGTACGTCCGTCTGTTCTGGGAGCAGGCGCCGACGAAGCTGGTCGATGTGTCGCCGCAGGACTTGCCCGTCCTCTGTTGACACCTCGTACATCACGGTGCCCGTGGGGCGGATGATGCAGCCCGCGACCCATTCCGGCCCTCTTCCAAAGTTCCTTGCGAAGACAGGGTCCTCTGGGAAGAAGCCGCGGGGTGCCTTTCTCTGTTCTGGGTTGCTCCTTGGCTCTGGGGCCCTGTCGGGGTGCAGCCGGTCCAGCAGGGTGGTTGGCCTTCGCCCCATGAGGAGTTCTGCTGGGCAGTGGCCACTTACTGGGTTGGGTGTTGTCCGCTGCGCCAGGAGGAAACATGCGATGCGGCGTTCCCAGTCCCCCTCCGTCAGGCGGCTCAACGCTTCCTTCGCTGTCCGGACCATTCTTTCCGCCTGCCCGTTCGTTGCGGGGTGGAAAGGCGCCAACCTGATGTGTTTGATCAGGTTGCTGCTCAGGAACTGCTGGAACTCCTCTGACGTGAACGCCGTCCCATTGTCCGAGACAATGGTGTCAGGGAGTCCGTGGGTGGCAAAGATCTTCCTGAGAGCCCTTATGGTCGCTTTCGTGGAAGTAGTCGAGACGGGGCTTATCTCCAGCCACTTCGAGTAGGAGTCCAGGGGACACCCCTGGATCCCATTGGGAGGTTCGAACTTCCCTCCCCGTTTCTATTGGCTCCCCGTTGGAGAGACCAAGAGACCAGTTCCCATTGTCCACCCAGGGTCAAGCCCTGGGTACTTGCTGGCCCCTGGTGCCGGCCAGCGGACACAACACCGTATAAGGTTTTATAGGCTAACCAGCACCTTTAATTTGGGACCAGAGATGAACAGGCAACCAGAGCAAATCTTTAAACAGCAACATTATATGTTGCCTATAGACCACTGCAGTTTGCAGCCTTACTGCTGGATTCTGAATTAATTAAGGTTGTTGAAACGTCTTCAAGGGAAGCCATGTTTAGCGAACATTACAGTAGTCTAACCTGGAGATCACCTGAGCATGGATCACTGTAGCTACGTCCTGCTTCTTGACACAGCTGAAGAACCATCTGAAGTTGGTTAAAGGTGTTATGTACCACAGTTGAAATCTAACCGTAGACACAGATCTAAGCATCCCCAGCCAGGCTGCATACTCCTCAGGACAGTACAACAGCATCACTTGGAATAGGTTGACGCCCACTTCTATGATCATTATCACATCCAAACAATAGTTCTTCAGCTTTCCCTGGGATGAACTTCATAATGATCTGTCCAGCATCCTTTCTACAGAGATGCTCTTCTCCTATCCCTTCAATTGACACTGAATGGAATAATTTTTCAGCACCTGTTTGCCCAGGTATTTTCTGATTGACAGCCACTACTTCTAGTTATTCATCTTATAGTTGCTGACTTAGTTTTATCTCTCCAGTTTAATTTTGTTAAAATCTATATTGCTGGTATGTTTTGTGCTGATTCTTTTTTATTGACTTGCTGATACTACATTGCTAATTCTGTATTTAACTACTTATTTTTAATTCTTTATTGTTGGTAACAAGAAACAGGAAACAGGAAAGGAAGAAAAAATACAAAAAAGGGATCAATTAAACAGATTCAGAAACCACAAAAGAAGAAAACCCATTATTAAATGCCTTATAGTTCTGTGACAATATAAATAGTCCATCTTTCAATACACTTATCAGCCCTTGATTAGGAATCCTATTTTGATATGTCAGTATAGACACGAGATTAATTTTCCACACTGACAATTCAATTGATAATATGGATTTCCAGCAGAATATTATACCATGTTGTGTGCCTGGAGAGGGGACCAGCTGGGGCGGGGGAGAAGAATGACACAGACACATGTGCTAAGAAGAACAGACCACAGCTTTATTGATTATAGGTTCCTTAGGTCTTGGCACAGGGGACAGGAGACAACAAATGCAGTTCACAGCCCAACAGCTGTCAGTCCCTTCCCCAACCCACCAGTTGAGGTAACCATGGCAGAGGGCTGGTATTAGGGCTGGAAATGGTAGAAACTACTATTCCTAACCATCACCACCTTCCTGGGGGCATAGTCAATGTGTCAGCCCCAAGGTTAGCTGTTGTGCACCCTGCCTCCGTAGAGCACCTTGAGGCAAACCCCCCCCCAGTCATACAGGGAGCCCACCCTGAACAATCTGCACTATGTTCCACAGCCAATTCCTAAACATGACAGGAGGCAGGCAGCTTAGCTTGCCTGGCTCTACCATCAAACCAAAGGAACCTGTAATATGTGTATCAAGCAGCCATCTCTGAGATCACCAAGCCCTATATCATTGCCTTCTGCAGAGAGGTGTACTCCATCTGGTCTGCGACTACTGTGGTTGTGGGAAATACTTGGGTGCTCAATCACTCCACCACTCGGAGCACCTTGTTGAACTTCCTCTGTGCACAATCAATCCTCTTGTGGTCCCATGCACCTCACCATTCCCTCCTCTGCAGGAACTTGGACTACATGATCTTAATGTCTGGGAACTGCTGCAGGCAATGCTCCAGGTCAGTGCAGCCTGTACACTGCAGCAAGATGCCAGATCATCTACTCAAATCATTTTCACCCAACTGAAGTACAAGAGCATCTGGATGACCATGGTGTTCAGCAGCCTTGGTGGGGCTGGCACCAGATGTTCTCAGCTAACACCCCATTGGCCCAGCCAACTGATGTCCATTGCTTCCCCCAGCCAAACCTGGGATCTCCATCCAGACTTTACTACATGATACTGTGCCTGCAAATCCAAATTGCCTTCCTTCTAACCGCTGTATCTAGAGGAACAAGACTTTGAGATAAGCCAGTTTGTGTGGCCCCATGCAAGATCTGAATGCAGGAGACCGCCCTCTGCCTTGTGGTTTTATCATAAAACTGTGTGTGGCCCCAGACAAGATTTGAATGCAGGAGACCACCACCTGCCAAGTGGTTTTATCACAGAGCTGGACAATCCCTAGGATGCTGAAATGGTAGCCCCGATCCTGAAGGATTGCCTTCCAATGTTAAATGGCCGAAGACCGACCAAGGACAGAGCACCCTGGAATACTGTGCAGTATTTCTTTTTTCTTTTTCTTTGCAAGGGGAGAGTTCCTGAATGCCCAAGGCACCTGTGCAGCCCATTCCCTTTCCATCTGAGCCAAAGATCAGAGAAAAGGCTACAGCCCCCAATTCTGCCTCCCCACACTTCCAGCAATGGGCAATGCAGGCGAGCTTAACAGGGAGCTGCTTGAGAGCTAACTGACTGACAGCCAATGCTGGGCCCAACTGCCCAGAGTCATCCTTTTCCCCACCTCACCTACACATAAATGATGCTCCAGCATAAGGCTGATACCTAGACTTGCAGCAGTTAACAAGCTCATGATAAGCAGCTTTCTATCTGAGGTAGGTACAGTCTTTAGCATGATGTCATAACCACACAATCAAATGGTGAATCATGGCCTGTTAATCCTAAACTATGCAGAAAGATTCTAGTGCCAAAAAAGTTCTACCACCTACTTATTTAATGCCATTTTAGTACACTGCGTTTAGATGACATTGTATGTTTTAATGCTGTGAACTGCCAGAACATTTTTTAAATTAAAGAGTTGTTTGTATATATTATTATTATTATAAATAAACATGATATATTAAAAAAAATTCCCATAATTTGTTTTGGAATTCCACAGGAGCTACAAGGCAGGGGTCTTGTGTTGACCACAAAATATCTTTTATTTGTGTCTCTTTTCTCCCAACTTGCAGTTTAGTGCTCAAGTAATGCACCTGTCACTCGTATTCTGTTACTTTTCTGTCATCTGGGTTCACATCTTATTTAAAAAGCCTGAGGATAAAGGCAATGATGAGAGCAGGGAGAGTTCAGCAGATCCCCTACCCAATGCACTCCCCCTGTTTTTAAAATTACTTACCATTCTAGGGATTCCCACTGCGGGGTGGATAATTCCTGGAGATTTGGGAGGGGAGGTTGGGGTGTAGGGAGGGGAAGGACCTCAGCCGGATATACTCCCATACAGTCCACCTTCCAAAGCATCAATTTTCTCCAAGGGAACTGAGCTCTGTAGTCTGAAAAGCAATTTAATTCCAGGAGATCTCCAGGCCCCGCCTTGAGGATGGAAACCATACACCCTTTATATGTGAATGGCTAGACTAGCATTTAAAGAGCAATCTGCTGCAGCTCCTGTTAGGGCTGCCAGGTCTCCCTTGGTCACCAGCAAGGGGTAAGGGGGTAGGGTTGCCAGATCCAGGTTGAGAAACTCCTTGAGATTTGGGGATGGAGCCTGGGGAGGACAAGGACCTCAGTGGGGTACAATGCCGTTGAGTCCACCTTCCAAAGCATCCATTTTCTCCAGGCGGAACTGGTCTCTGTAGACAGGAGATGTTCTGTAATTCCAGGGGGTCCCCAGGTCCCACCTGGAGGCTGACATCCCTAGTCACTGTCTAGTTTTGCCCTTACGCTGTACTTAGAGCAACACCCTCCCCCAGGAATCCATGCAACAAGATTTATATCCAGATTTTTTTTTTAGAATGATCCTACTCTAGCACAATCCACCCATTCCTTGGCACTGTAGCCCCAAAATAAATTCAGATCTCTCTGGCTTAGTTGAGTGGTCCTTCCAGTTTAATCATCTGTCTAGAGGAAAACCATTAGGACATGATTTACTTAAGAGCTGTGTTGCTGCAGTGCCTGCCGCCTGCCAGTAACTGTGCGAGCAGAGCAGGCAAGCCTGCCTGTTGTTCTTGTTTACTGGGCTCGCTGTCCGGCAGCCATCGGTCTCGGGTCCCTTTTTTCCCTGCTCTGTGTCAGCTCGTGGTTTTAGACTGAGGGGTGGTTTCTCTTCCAGCTGTCTATAAAACGAGGCAGCGGGGAAAGGAGCTGTGCAGCTACCAGTGGGATGGGCGACTCAGCCAATTGACCAGACTTTTGCTTCTCGGGTAGCAAGCACTCCGGACACAGTTTTGGAAGTATTCCACCAACCTGCTATGCATGTTGTGGCCTGTCACCTCTGTACTCTGAGCACTGCAGTAAAAAAAGAAGGAAGAGGAAAAACTCTCATCACCGAGGGGAAACTACAGGCAACATCCAAGTGAAACTAGACGGGAATCTGGTAGGAGACGAAACCTGCTGTGGTTCTGGCACAGCTCCCTCCCACTGCTCAGCCTGAAGAACCTGCCTTCCTGACACAAACAGCAAAAGGCTCCAACAGCATCAGCTTGAAGACGGTGCAGCAGGTAAGGGAATAGGATAGGATACAGATCCTAGAGAAGGTTCTGGGCCAAGGAATTATGTAGGAGAGGAATGGATGAGGGAAGTGGTAGCTACTTTAGGTGATGTGGTGCATGTATAGGCTGCAAGCTCTTGAAAACAGATATTTGAAAATGCCTGGAACAACATCCTACAGTAATGTTAGGATTTGTAGTCAAAACAGACTTCTTATATTTTTGTACCTGCAAAACAGGTAAAACATGTGAATATATATTGATGGAAATGGTGCATCTTCTAGGGGTGCCAACTGCCTAAAAGAAAAGAAAAAAAAGCCCTGTCCCTTTAATAGAGGCTATATGGGATATTATTTATTGGGTGATGTTGTTTATCTCCATGCAATGAAAAGCTTCAGTTACCCATTCCTACACATTAGGTCTCTATTAAAAGTGTGCACAGTTTTCTTCAGGCGTCTTGGCAACCCTAGAGGTCATTAAAATCAAGAAATGAGAGTTCTGGGAGGAAAATAGCCTTACACATGTGCTTGCTCACAGCTTCAGCTGTGGCAGAGGAGATGGCTGTAACTGGATACAGATAAGTTTGTGGCAAAGTTCTGAACTGGAAGACTTCATGGATAAGTTTTGTTTAGATGCTCAGTATGTAATTACCATAAAATTATCGCTAAATCTTGTGATAATGTGTTGATCCTTGTGGCTTTGTAGTTTAAGGAATGGCTTGTTGTGTTGAAGCAATTCAATGTCAGACCATATAGGTATGGTTGGTATGGTACATCATGATTCCTTCTCCTCTTTGTATGTGACACTTCATAATCTGAATGATGAAGAGCATTTTCATACATGGCACTGCAGAAGATTATTTTTATGTGGTACATTACACAATAAAGTCAATACAAACCAAATCTGGTAACATTACCTAGTAGATGGAGGACATGTAGGCACCGTCCTGTTATTAAGTGTTGGAAGATAATTTTTCTTCAATTCTAGATTTGGATAAATTCTGTATTCTTCAAAGCAGACAAAAATTGCATGGAAAATTATGCATCCTTTAATATTTCCATGACTTTTTGCCTAGTGCATCACATAAAATTAATCACTGTCTTTCCTAATACCACATTTTCTTTATTTTAGTTTTCTTTCTAGACCTTTCAAGGGACCAATAAATTCCAATCAGTGTTGAAGACGTATCTAAATAACTTGTATTTTTATATTTTCAAATAGGGTTGCCAACTCCAAGTGGGGAAATACCTGGAGATTTGGGGCGGGTGGAGACTGTGAAGGGTGGAGTTTGGGAGCGGGACAGACCTCAGCAGGGGATAATGCCATACAGTCCACCCTCCGAAGCAGCCATTTTCTCGAGGGGAACTGATCTCTGTCATCTGGAGATCACTTGTAATTCCAGGAGATTTCCAAGCCCCACCTGGAGGTTGGCAACCCTACAGCACAATCAAGTAGCACCGAGATCTTCTTTGTATCCAACATAGCTGAGCCTAATTTAGTGTGCATAGCACCTCCTTTGCTCCATTTTAAGACTGTTAATAAATGTCAGCTTTTCATCACGTCCAGCAACATCTCTTATCTACCCCTCCTATTGTCTTGTTTACAACCCAGTCCAAAAGAAGACATCTGATGGATTCACAGGCTTGTTTGCTACTTCATGATGTTTTAGTTGGTCATAATACAAGTATTTCTCGCTTTAGTTTTTTTAATTGGCTCGCATACCTACCCGCAATCTTCTTTGTGGCCACAATTAGCATGTTTTCCTTTCAGTTATGCTTACCTGTGAATCAGTCACGAGTTCGTCCTTATTTGAGTTAATTTTTAAATGAAGTAAGGAATCAGACTTCATTCCAGTGTCAAACTAGGACAGGAGAGACTGGATTCAAATTGCCATTCTGCCATGACATTCTCTGAGCCTCCATCTCGGAGCCTAACTTACCTTATAGGGTTGCTGCGAGGGTAAAGGGGGAGGGGAGAACACTGTATGCCATACTGAACTCCTTGGAGGAAAATATAATAAACAAATACAAAGAAAAAGACAAATAGAAACTACAATCTATGGGAATGATTACTCTTCTCACACAGTGAAATTGAAGGCTACCTTGTTTGGGAAGTTTTCAGCTTAAATCTAATTTATAATGTCTGCTGAATACAGAACCCAGGTTTATGAGGCAGATATTGTAGTTGCATTTGTTTGGAACTGTTCCGTTCTGTAGCATTCCCGCAGGATAATCTTTTCTGTGAATAGCTAGAACTGAAAGAAAAATCTGTGTAAATTCAGATAAAAAGTTTTGAGCCTCTCCAATAGTGATTTAGAGCAGGCTGGGTCCTTTCCTATCCCCTCCATCCGTATTTTGCTCATACCCTGCCACATATTTTGTTGGGAATTCCAAGATGCTGATAGGTGGATAAGTCTCTGAGGGCTTGCCTTTTTTTCTTTGGTTTTTTCCTCTTTTTGCCATTAGGTCACAGCCAATTTATGGCAACCCCATAGGTTTTTCAAGGCAAGACGTGTTCAGAGGTAGTTTGCCATTGCCTGCCTCCATGTCATGACCTAGGTATTCCTTAGTGATCTCTCATCCAAATAATGACCAAGCCCTACCCTGCCTAGCTTCTGAGATCTAACAAGATTGGGCTAGCTTGGGCTATCCAGGTCAGGGTTCCTGTCTAGTTAGGCTCTTTTAAACAGTATAATGTAATAGAAATGAAATACCATTTCTATAATCATGTTGTTGGCCTAGTCCATGAATGGAGACTCAGAACTGATCACACTATTGTTCCTCTAACCATTGCAGTTTTCTTTGATGGTTTCTTCTGTTTGGTGTAGTAGATAAGTGCGCGGACTCTAATCTGGGAGAACCAAGTTTGATTCCCCACTCCTCCACTTGCATCTGCTGGATGACCTTGAGAAAGCCATAGTTCTGATCTGTTCTTGAAAAAAGAGCAGTTTCTGTCAGAGCTCTCTCAGCCCCACCTACCTCACAGGGTGTCTCTTGTGGGGAGGGGAAGGGAAAGGAGTTTGTAAGCCGCTCTGAGATACCTTTGGGTAGTGAAGGGTGGGGTATAAATCCAATCTCTTCTTCTTCTTTCTTCTTAACTGAGAAAATCCATTGTTGAGTGTTATAATCTGACAACATATAGTAAATGTTGTCTTTTTCATACTGTACTGGATGTCATCTCTCCCCCAGCTTTGCGTCCCATTGCAACTTGCTTGTCTGTCAATTCATGGACTATCACCGCCCAGTATCCCAGTTCATGGAAGTAATTAAACTAGAAGAAAATGCTTATGTGGGTGTTTGTTGTTGCCTAATCAGTGCCTTATTCCCAGTAGACTCAATGGATTAAATGGTTTTCCTGAACAAAGGGTTGTAATATGGACCCCCATGGCAACTCTAGCTCTGTATGCAACTAGCAACATGCAACATGCAACTAGCAGCCACACAGAAGGATGGGATCCTTTCACCAGGCACTTCTAACAAGTTCAGTGGGGTCCAGATGAGGGTCAGAATGTGATGCACAGCTACATGGTCTGCATCTATGGGCTTCTTTTGGGTTGTGATGATTTCTCTGGACAGGTAATATTCACATAGTGTAGTTTAAAATGTTAATTATTCCAGTAGTCTCAATGTCTGAGGTTTGCTTTTCGTATCAAGACAATTAACATGTAATTTTTATCAGCCCAGATTATTATTAGCAGCTGTCACCAGAACACCTTTTTTAGAATGTGATGCCAGGGACCAGCTCCCTCCTCTGTCTTCTACAGCTCTTCTCCATCATTTTTTGAGGATGCTTATTCAGGTCCACATATATACACAGAATGAGAACTTTCCAATACATTGAGGGTGCAAGCTCATCCCAATTGTTCAGCAGCTCAGGGAATTATTAACCAGGGCTTGGAAAGATAAACAGATCTTGTTTTTGAATGCCCTATTTGGAAAGGATTATGGCATTTGTTACTAATGGTATTGTCTGTGTGCAATAGGGTGTATTTAATAAGATTCCCCCATCTCCCCCACATCTGACTCAGGCCATCTCTTTGTTTGGAGTAAAACTGCCTGCCGAACTAATGCAAGTTGTTCATGTATCTATTCTGCTAAAACCAAGCCCTATTCCCAGCTCTGTGCTGAAATCACTTTGCAGGCATATCCTGACCAATGTACCCATGAGGATTGCTGTATGCCTGCAATGGAGTGCTAATTAACTAACACTTTAAGGTGGATTTTCTCTCCCTCGAAAATAATCATAATAGGGCCTCCCAAATAATTCAGATAAAGAGCTCTGGAGACAAGTGACTACAGCATATGTATCAGACCAACTGGAACTGACAAATGTTACTATTGGGGACTAATAGACAATACCTTGCAGAATAATGGAAGAGTCTCCCAATTAAAAAAAAGAAAAGTAAGTATGTGAGGCTGTTTAGCCCCCTCCCCGCTATTTGTTTCCAACTCAAAAGTATCCCTCAGGGGCTTTTGGGGTATGTATCTTTTTTCTCTCTGGAAAAGCAATGAGGAGAAAAAGAGGTTGAGGAGGAGGATTAAGCAGCCCCTGTACTGTTCTGCCATTCCTCAACTTCTGATTGCAGCCTTCTTACATTTTTTATAAGTGAGAAACAGTTATACATGTCTGTGATGTAACATCTAGTCTGGCCCCGAGCAATTCCATTTTATGTGGTAAGCAGGGGTCTTGTTGTAGAAAAAGAGCTGCCGGAGCTCATTAGCATCTCATTAGCATAACTTATTTGCATATGCCACGCCCCCTGACATCACCGGAAGTGACAGAAGGCCACACCCCCTGACATCACCGGAAGTGGGTGGTAAGTCAAATATCAAAATGTTTTATCTAGTCAAGTCAACAAGGTTTGATTTAGTAACATCTCTGTTCTCCAGACCTGCAAGTTTCCTCCCTCATAGCTTTCTGTATCTCCACCCATTTCAAACAGTCTTCTGGTTTCTGTGGAATTTCTCACAGATACAAACACAAGTAAGATTGCACTTTCTATTGCAGTTTTT